GTGACTGGAGTTCAGACGTGTGCTCTTCCGATCTATCTGCATAAGGTATACGTTTCAAGAGCAATTTTCATGAACGATGCCTTAAAAACTCGAGTTCGCCACAAATTTTACCTTATATAAAAATCATGCTGCGGGCAAAACTTGAAAATCGATTCTGACTTATCACGTACGTACGTACATAACAGATAACATCGTTTTAAAATATATACGTATATAGAATAAATTATTTCTCTCGTCTTTTTACGTACGTACGTACGTATAAATATGTACGTACGTACGTACGTGCATTTAATAGATTTTTAACATATATTAGAACATTAAGTAACATATGGACGTCCCAAATGTCTGCACCTATAGTTTTTACACATTTAACAGTTTAGCCTGTTATATTTTCTTTGTCATTTATTTCTTTTACTAGTTATTGCTTTGTAGATTTTAGTATAAACAATCGACCAATCACATTGTAAAACTCGAATAAATTAATCATGTGATTAAGAATTTTTTTAATTAAATAACGTGTTGGACTATAATTTAAATGTGTAAAATGTTGAGGCGACCCTGATTTGTTTTTTATGTTACTGAGTTGCTACAGACCTAGTGGTAAACCTTGAACAAAAATGGCAGCAGAAGCAAGAAGAGCCTTAGAGGTACTTCTAAAGTCTGAGATTCACAATTCTTTTCTGAATTTTCATAATAGCGTCAAATATTATAAATGAACTTCAAAGGCATTAATGGGAGCTGAAGCTTTAGGAGGCGTTCCAGATCATATGAGGTACGACGATGAAAAAGTATGTCGCAATTACCTTTGTGGACTTTGTCCGCACGACCTTTTTACGTAAGTCTTAAGTAATTTTTCCTTGGATAATGTCGCAATAGCACTATATATTCACTATTTTCTATGTTAATTTTTGTTTGTATAATACAGCAATACGGTAAGCTTTTACTTTATTTTATTTGTTTTTTGCTCCAAATTATTGCGTCAAAATAAAAGTTTTTGTTTTTGATGCGATCTAATTTAATATTTTATTATTTTCATTTAAGAAAATGGATCTCGGGGCATGTCCCAAAATCCATTCAGAACGATTAAAAACTGAATATGAAGAAGCAAAACAAAAAAAAGTATGCGATTTTGATTTAGAATTTGAACGTAACCTAAGCAATTTTGTGTCAGATTGTGATCGAAAAATTGCGAGCGCACAGAAGCGTTTGGATAAAACACCCGAGGATAGCGCAAAGGTCTCGCAACTGGTGAGGCAGTGTTTAATAAAAATTTGTTATCCGTTTAACGTCAATGCTTAATGTATATATTTCTGTTTCTATAGACAAGAGAAATTGAAAATTTGTCAACTGAAATATCAGAAATGACTAAGGAAGTAGAGGTTTTGGGTAAAATTGTTTATCTAATCTTTAATTTAAATTCCTGAGAATGTGAATAAAAATGGTATATAAAAGTTATCTGTGTACTTTTGCTTATTTAGGTGAAGAGGGTAAAGTCAGTGAATCGATGAAATTATTGCAGGACGTTGAAGCGAAGAAGACATTGAAACTCGAAAAAGAGGTAGAGTAATAGTTTATTCATTATATTTTTAATACATATATTTTTTTTTCAATAGTGTTACATAATTATATAGAAAGAGCTTAAAAATTCTGCAGAGGGTGGGGGTCCTTCTCAGCAGCAAAAGTTGCGGGTCTGTGAAGTATGCAGTGCCTATCTATCAATATTTGATTCGGATAGACGGTATAGTTATTTTTTTTTATCATAGTGAACAATTGAATATTGTCGGGATGATGCTGAGAATTTGGGGTCTCAATTTAAGAATATAAAGTCCACATATACTCTTTTATTATAATTTCTAACCTAATTCTAAAAAAAAAAAAGCTAAAAAAAATAGCCCAAAAAATTTTTAAATTTTATATTAAAATAATTTAAGTTCTCTGCATCAACCCCGACAAATATTATTATACTTGGAATTAATTAATATCTTATGTATAGTTTGGCAGATCATTTTGGTGGAAAGGTATTTATTAAATAATTTTTTTGAAAGATTTCTTCTTTTTTTGATTTACTCGGTATATAATTTACTACCTTATTTAGATGCATCTAGGATATCTAAAAATACGTGATTTATTGAAAGAACTCAAGGAAAAACATAAAGATCGTCGTAGTGATTCAAGAGAAGGGCGAGGTTATCAAGATCGTGACAGAGATCGTGGTTATGACCGTGACAGGCATAGCCGTAGTGGAAGATTTGATTAGTATGTTGATTATATCATTTATTTCTATTTCAAAAGACCTCATGATATTTATTACTGTTCTTTAATATACAGTGATAGGCGACATACTCGTGATCGCTCGCGATCAAGATCTCCTGATAGACGTGGTGGCAGAAGGAGGTCTCGAAGTCCTCCGAGAAGAAGATATTAATATCCTACTGATGTATGGTCACTATGAAATTTTTTAGGCATTAACTCATTTGATCTTTGAACCACATTTTAGCGGGTCAGTGATTTTAGTGGTAATTATCATATGAAACTAGCTTTGGATCGAAAATTCTAGATTTACATACATTTACAAGTTCAGCTGCCATTCATATAGAGCCAGGATTAAACAATTTATACTAAGTCGTTTTCGCATTATTACTGATATTTTATGAATTAAACGCCCTTATAAATTGTAAAACGTCTCGTTTTTATTGCATATGAATGGGATTAATAGAATATAATAAAGTGTCTGATTCTGGAATTACAGGACCCGAATCTTCGGTTATGGGGGCTTATCCACTAAATCGGTTAAGGTCATGAGACCAATTCAGTAATACTCGTGATAAAATGATCTACTGTATATAAAAATTACCGTTACTGTATATACTATGCTACGTCAGTAACAGGATCTTAAATTTTGAACAATATTATGTAAAAATGCATTGATTGTCATTTACCCCACAAATATTTAAAATGGTAAATCTTGATACGGATACGTATAAATATTAGTGCGTTTAACGCATAAAATTTTCTCGCTTTCTTTTAGCTTTGTGACAAATTTTAAAATGGATACTTCAGTGTCAGGTAAACTCATGTCTGTCATTTAAATGATGGTTGATCTGATATTGGAATTCATATATTTTTTCATTACCCAACTTTATCAAAGAATTATCTTCATTAGATCGTCTTCGAATTGCATTACTAAATCTTGAATCAATTCCTGCTCACAAAATTCCCTCTCCGCCATATCAACAACGAAGGGCTAGCGTTGCCATTATTATTCGTATTAGGCCTAATCCTTCTCATTTAACCCATAATTATCATGATCAATCTTTATCCGCTACACCAATTTCATCCTCCCTAAATCATTTGATAGAATCATCTAATGGGAATCTGCCTACAATTTCTGCAATTCTTGAAGAATTTTGGAAATTACCTTGGGTTGCGAGTGGCGAACCTGAAATTTTGTACATAAAGCGGGCTTTAAGAGAAGGTGATCGGTGGAGTGGTCAAATGGCCTTTCCGGGCGGAAAACAAGATCCGAAGGACGCTGACGATTTGGATACGGCTGAAAGGGAAGCGTTTGAGGAGGGTACGGTAATATTAAATATGAATTATTCTAATGAATTAATCTTTAATAAACTAACAACTTATTTGTATATTCATTCTAATGGTTTGATACATTTAACTGTTTTTATTATTAACAGTGGGATTAGATCTTGGTGACCGTAAATTGTTTTTGTGTGTTGGAGCTTTAGATGATTGTAAAGTGACTACTACTTTCGGGAAGCAATTATTAATGATTCTTTGTCCTTATGGTAATTGCATTCCTAAAATCATTATTTTAAAACTCCTTGCATAGTAACATATTAATAAGTTCCCATGGGGACAACTTTCACGCAAATTGTGTGCAGTTTTTCTTCAACTGACTCAAGAAACACCTCCAATTGAGATATCTGGCTCTGAAGTGGATTCAACCCATTGGATCCCACTTTCTATATTTCTTGATCCTCAGATAACTCAAAAATGGAATCCAGCTTCAATCGATTTATCATCTCGAATTGCCCCAAGATCATGGATTATCCAATGTGTATTAAAAACATTTATTGGCCGTATGCACTTTCATTGTATCGATTTACCACAAATAAGTTCCAATGCGTCATCAATATCTGGTAATAACAATAATCGATCATGGACTATCTCAGATATTGAAACTTCAAAAACATTATCGACACGTCCAGATATTCAGATTGGATCGGTCACAACGTTACGGTTATGGGGACTTACACTACAAATGACTAGTGATTTGATAGATATGATGTATAAGCCCGATGAAGTTCCACCCAGGAGATTAGACGCTTTTAGGCCAAAATTTGATTATTGGGACGTTAATTTTTTTAGTTGGTTATTTCTGAAAAGTAATCGAGGAAATTACAGAAGACAGCAGGTGGATTTTGCATCAAGAAGGTGACTAAATATTTCGATATTTTTTGAAGGTTTTTAGATTTTAAGAGGTTTTAAATCAATAATTTTGTATCAATTTTAATTTCAAGAACTATATGGGCAAATGGATGGAGTGATTATTATAGAGCATTACAAAAATCTATAATAATTGCTATAATTACAAGAACTTTATTTATTTTGTGGTTACTTCGAAAATCACCAGTCTTGGTAAGTTATTTCTTAAGTTTCTGTAGGAAATATTTTAAAATTAAATTGTGGTAGCAGTAATTTATTTGTGAGTAAGAGAATTATACATTTGAGGACATTTTTTAAGTCATAAAATTGTTTATAAAGATAGGAAATTAAACAGTGACAAAAGAAACAGATGTATTTTATGTGTGCAAATGAACAATTTAAATTGTGACAATTGTTAATCTATATATTAAGATAATTTATTAAATATTGTTGTTTCATACATATGTTAGTAATTATACGTTTAATATTGTCAATATGAATCTTTGTGAGCTCGATATAATGATTAGTGATTATATAAAGCTAAAATTTTAAAGCTCTATATAGGATAAATTTGTTATACAGTTGGTGCACATCCTCCTTAAGGTTAGTTTTCTTATTTAGTAACTTCCGGAAGAAATATTTTAACTACGTAGTTAAATTTTCGGAGTTTGAGCATAGTAGACGCCTCCATAAGTGCACTCACTTCGACATGCAGCTTAAAGTATTTGTATAATATCATATACACTAACCAAATTGGGTTCGAATGCGACAGTAATGCTGTTAGTTTTACTAATACAGCTATAGTTATAATCCTAATTTGTTGTTTTTTTGTAAAAAGAAAAAAATTTATATTACTTCTGTATAAGTTAAAAATTTTTTTTAGTAATTATAAATCAATTATTATAAAACGCACCTATGGTGGTTTTGCACCAGGTTATCATCTGATCTTCTGAATGTGTTAACAGTTGTTTGAGAGATAATGTTAAGCTTTCTATGCATTGCTGCCACTTGCAGTGTAAACTTCTTTCTAAAAATATTTGCTATTTTGAATTTCTTGCTTTCACCTATAAGCTCTGTGTTTTTAAATTTAAATATAATGTTTAATTCCTTGGTTTTCAACATTGTTAGGCAAGTTAAATTATTTTTTCAAAGGTGAGTACAAGTGTCTGGTAGTTTTTCAAACCACATGTTTTTAGCTGCTTCCAAAAGTTGCATTCCTTGATTTAATTTCAGTAATATTAAAATTTTTTTTGGTTCTGTTAAGTTTAGTCACAAGTGTAGGTTGGAGACTTGCTTGGTTAGCAGCTGATTCTATAATGCATTGCAGCTTCTGATATTTTTGTGAAGGATTATATTATTGTTTGTGGTCTTTGCTAACTTCATCTTTTACTTCACTAGTATTAGTATTGGTGCCTAAAGGTTGTTTATTGTCTTTTTGGTGAATCTTGACACTTGTAACATATAGCACAATTTAGAGACTATATATATATTATTAATATATGTTGTTTGTATTACTGTAAGTTTTTTTGGGTTAATAGCCATGCTGTTGAGCATATAATTTTTTTTGTTCTTTCCTTGACAAAAGCTTCATTTAGATTATTATTAAGCCATACTTCTAGAAACCTTGTAGTTTTATTTCTTACTTTTTCTACTATCTACTTATTGTTGAAGAAAATCTTTCTATTTTCTCTTTTTTCTCTTGAATTAACTACAATCAATTTAGATTTTTTTCTATTTATTTAAATATTATTTAGTTTAAAGAACTCTTCTGTAATCTGTATTATCTTTTTTATTTGTTCTTTGTTTTCTGCAATTTAGGTTGTATCATTAGTATATACAACTACTGTTTGCTTCTATTTCTTTTCTATTATATAGTTCAAATTATAGTTATATAGGATCTGCTAAGATACTACATATTCTAAATTTGGGTTCTCATTGATTCTTGACAAAAGTGAATTGTAAAAAATTCTCCACACTAGCGGTGAAATTACCTCTCCTTGCTCGATGCCATCATTTATTTCAAAGCATTGTATTGGATCTAGCTTTGTGATAATTTTTAATTGTTAGTTCTCAAATAGATTGAAAATAAATCTAATTGTAATTTAAGAAATCTTTAGCTTTTTTATTGCTAATTCTAATGATTCAAATAATACTGAGTCAAAAGCTTTTTTATATTTTGTAGAACTACAATGCGGGCATTCTTAAACCAACAACTTTTTTAAAGGCAACCAAATTTAAGACAAAATACTAAATTCTGATTGGTTAATAGTTTGAAATTTTATTATATTTTTTAAATTTTTATTATATTTTTTAAAATTCTGTTATATTTTTATATATATGTGGCTAGAAATACTCAGTCTCTTAGGAGACTTGAGTAAAAGAAACAGAAGTAGCAAAGAAATAGAAGAAGTCGTGAAAAGTCGTCGATATTTTTTTGCACTTTGCGAATTTTTGGGAAATTGGCCTTGACCCTAAATTGCAGATCTGTTTTAGTAATACAAGAATTACAACGTGTAATGAAAAATAAACAAGAGAAACACACCAAAAATCACGTGACAAAAATAAGTAATGAAGGTAAACAATTGCAACAAGTAGCAACAACAAACAACAATAACCAAAAAACAACAAGTCACGTGAAGCAAAAATTAGTTCGAGTTGCTGGAAAAAGACCTGCTACAAAAAAAGAGCTATTAGAAGCTATCCAGGATATAACAACAGCAATAACGATCGAAATAATAAACATGAAAGTAGAACAGACAATGATGGAATATACTGAACAACAACTCCTCCCAAAAAAAGTAGCTGAAGCACAAATAGAAAAACTTTTTGAAGAATTTCGAAGATATAATAGAGGAGAATTAGAGTATACTGAACTTGCACTTATAGAAAGAGACCATGAAT